ATGTTCTTCCGACTCGGTGAGGTGTCCCTGAGTAAATCAAATTGTAAATTTGCAGCCCTTGAATTTCTTTCTCCTGCCACTGCTGGCAGAAGGCTCTTCACTAAAAGGAGGCCTAGAAAAGCCCCTCTAAGATAGTATTTTGGCCTATTCTTTAATGCTGGCAAGGTTGTTTTGCAAGCGTATACCCACACTTTAACCCACCACACGTGACCTGCCAATCGACTAACTGTGGCGTAACTACCCCTTTTTACTGCGGTGTGTACAGAGGTGGTGGTGGGGGGGGGGTTACATTTTGTGTTGCGTTTGTTTCAACTGCCACGCCAGGAGACTGAATCGGTGGCCTTTGTATTGCAAGTGCCGTGTTGCTAACAGTTACAGCAGCATCCTTCCTGGATAAAAAAATTGCATTATTGGCATTATTTATTATGTTAGAGGATCTTTCATGCCAGCCCAAGTTACTGACAGTGAGCAACACCCCCGAAAAGCTTGCTACCATCCATGGCCCCAGGGCAACCCTCTTAGATAAACTAAAGTTTAACTTTGCGCTGTACAATGTTGTTAGATTAAAAACTCGATTACTTTATTAACTACATAATCTAAAATCTAAATGTTGGATTCAATGTCAGTTGGTTTTGTGCATTGCCACTTTTGTAAAGTTATAGTACTCATATTCTTGGTTCTTTCGGTAAAGTCACGTAGAAGGGAAACAAATAATAAAAACATAAAAAATTAAATTCTCACGACGTTTCGACTGCAACACAAACAATCATCATCAGGTGTGAAAGCCACAGCAATATTTTTTTTTCAAATTTTCTTGCTGTGGTTTTCACACCTGATGATGATTGCTTGTGTTGCAGTCGAAACGTCGTGAGAATTAGATTTTTTATATTTTTATTATTTGTTTCCCTTCTATGTGACTTTACCGAAAGAACCAAGAATATGAATCCCTGCAGTCACGAAATCTTTAAATCAAAGTTATAGTATTCATTTTGATTCTTATTCTAATGTCAATGATTCTTATTCTTTAAAAAGTCAAACCATTTATTTTGTTTAATTGAGTATTTAGGTAGTGCTTATCTCCTGTTCACAGCCCTAACACCATTGGTCGACATTCCTATTTCTTTTGGCAAGTCTATCTAAAGGACAACTGTTGACTTTCCCAAAAAGTGGTATTATTTAATCGACCCCAGACGGATGATGTGTTGAGTCAACCCTAAGCCAAGATTTGAACTTGCAACTTTTTGATTGAGGGCCACTCGCTCTGCCAACTGGATGGGTAAAATTTATAAATGTGTCGTAACCCTCCACCACCCGACACGGCCAATCAGCAAAAAAAGTGTCACGTTGACAAAAGACAAATAGTTCACTACCAGCGAAACGTCGTACTCAAACTGTAAATGTTGTGGATTCACTCTTCAACACACTGGTGAGCTAAAGTAGTGAACTATTTGTCTTTTGTCAACGTGACACTTTTTTGCTGATTGGCCGTGTCGGGTGGTGGAGGGTTACGCCACATTTATACATAACGCGATCTAACCCAATAACCTTTATTATGAATAATATTGGTCGCGAAAGCCTACCTGTTAAACTGGATGGGTAAAAGGTTGAGATACATTTTGATTTAAAGCTTTCGTGACTGCAGTAATTCATATTCTTAGCTCTTTCGGTAAAGTCACGTTACTTTACCGAAAGAGCTAAGAATAGGTTGAGATACATTTATTTAAAGTTGTTATTGATTATAAGGAAAAGTTTGGGGGTTCTATCTGCCAAATCAGTATTATGCTTAACTTCTTTCACAACGTACACAGCCAGCCATGATAACTGGAGGTGCGATCAGGTGTGCTGTCAACTCCAAAAATAAATCATATCTGGGATTGTAAAATGTCAACCATACTAGCCAACGAGATCCCAGTCCTACTATCACGCCTAAGCACAACCAAACTTGCCACAAATACATCGCACTACAGTATTCACCCCTGACACTATTAAGGTTGCCACCTCTGAGGTACAAAAGCTGAGACATTTCATGGGAAGACGAATATCTCGCAATACTGTCTCGAGTGGTGGATTATTACGCCAATGACAATAAGAGGGACTTTTAATGTTCTGGGAAGACATAGATTTTCCAGCACAGCTACCTCAACAGAGGACAATCCCATAAAAACCAGGACATAAGGTAACCCTAGGGCCTAGACCCTCACCTAATCTACGTCTTTACTCCAGGAGTAGAACTCTGCCTCCATTTTCGTTATTTGTTTTTCCCTTTTGATGTTGGCAGTGCCACTTACTTCACATTGAATATTCATGCTTAATTATTTTAAATAATGCTTCTGTAGTATATGCAAACTAACTCTTTAGCGATCCATGAAATGTTCATAATTTTTGTTAAGCTTTATTTCAGTGCATGCTTTCATGTAATAAGATATACCACGTGGCTTTGTACTCCAAACTGCTGACATGGGATATAATAAATTAAAGTAACTTCATTAACATTTCATTAACAATGTATCCACTACATAGGCCTGCACGTGGCCACTGCTTCTTAACTTTGGGATAAATATCCAATTAACCAGAACGTTTTTATTTAAGTTGATGAGGCACATTTATTCTTAGAATGGGAAGGCATTTATTGGAACTGCTACGTTAATTATGGCTAGATTTGGAGTAAAAAAAACATCATGTACCGTGAAAATAATAGGTGGAACAACATGAATGTGATTGAGCTTTAAAGGGCATATTTATATTGTGTGGGTACGTGCCTCTTGTGGATGTCAAATGCCCTCTTGAGTTTGGCTCAGTGCCCAGTCCTACACACATTATATTTAAATGCAGTGTACTTTTTCTGTTACGTTAAATACATTTCTGGATTGTAGCAAAACAAGATGAAATATATGACACGGTGTAAGTCGCTGTATGGTCCTTGAGATATGTTTGGTAAAAAAAACCCACCGTAATATATAAGATAAAAATGTTTTAATCTAAAGTAAGAAGGAAGTACGTAATGAATGGTACCTGGAGATGCGTTTAGGAATGCTTTTCCACACTTTATGAAAAATTGCATAAATATTATGTGCCCTTTAAGTTTATAAGGTCATGAAGTTTAAAGTAAATATTGCAAATATTATTCAAAGCCCCTCTGTAATGTTTTTATTTTATTTACCTCACTTAATAAATTTGTATTAAATTGCAGAAACCATTCTCCATTATATTGCTGTCAGACGTAATTTTCTACATTGAAATCAAATAAATGACTTACCATGTTGTGAACTAATAGAGCACAGTATACTAAAGTGTACTTGTATATTGTTAATGATGCATTTATCTCAGTTTTATTTGATTGTGCTGTGTAATAATACTGATAATTACAAATTGAAAGGCCTTTTGTAAGTCCACTGCTGCATATAGACCTCCCTACGCTGTATCAGTCATTTAAGTTTGTTTTGCCATACTTCACTACATGGGTCAGTGCGAGTTGATGAAGGGAGCGCAGAGGGAGGGGGGTGGGTGCTGATTCAATTTTTTCTTGCCACTGATGTTAACCATGGCTGGGATTCAAATTCATACGACTAAGTTTATAACCAAGTACTCTGACGGCTCAGCCACCATGCCCCATGTATATCAATATGTGAAAATGGCTAAATTATTTTAAAATGTTTAAAGCTGTTACCTTATGAGTAACACATACATTAACATCGATCAATTAATTAATTTATATTTCAAAAAATATATTTTTTCTAGGAGAGCCATACTGGGCCATTGCATTCTTGCTTAGGAGCATCCTACAAATGAGTTTTAATTAATAATGTATTCAACCAATGTAATGAGTGTTTATTATACAAGCGGGAGGAAACTGGAGCACCCAGAGAAAACACTAATGTGCGAGGAGGCAACACTATATTATCGTACAAATGGAAACAAATGCTGATTAGTCCACTTGCTTTACTGCCTCCCCTGGCGAGCTCGGGCATTGCACCCCGACACTCAACGGGAATAGAGTTTCACAAAATGTGTGCGATCTACGCACCCTTGTCTTCACAGTGCTGGATTACAGGCCACGTGACTAGCCACCATTTCCGGGCGGCAGTTATATACAATGTATATATTATTGATAGCAGTTCGTTTTTGATACGGGGGGCGTTTAAGCCAGGGTGAGTCAGAGCGCCTTACCGAGTGGTAAGTGACGTACATAACATCCCGTCTCAACACATTTGAAAGGGCACTCCCAGCGGCAGCTGTTGCTGTGCGCACAAGGTGACCCAACATCTGGCCTGCAAACAGGCAGTAAGCCAGTAGGAGGGGGCAGAGTTCGCTGTGTATGATCACAATTGAGAAATTTGCAGTTTTTTATGACTCTCCAATGTGGTTATCACAGATGTGCCGTATAACTCTTTGATGTGGTCATCATGATTATGCTGTACAACTCTCCGATGTGGTTATCACAGTTGTGCTGTATAACTCTCTGGTGGTGTTTTTGGTCGTACCACGTGTTGCTCTGCACATGCCGGGGAACTGAATCGAAGAAGATCCCAGTACGTAGAGCGAAACTTCGAACATCGTGCCGAACAACACGCAGTACAACCCAAAAACGCATCATCGAAGAATTACATAATAGGGCACTGTGGGGGTGAGATGTCCACTCCCTCGCCTGGTGTAAAGCAAGTCGTGGGTTCGATTCCTACCCTGTTGCCTATATATTTTCAATTAGCATGTTCTCCCCATGGTCACGTGGATTTTTCTCCGGGTCCTCCGGTTTTTCCCTACGCGTTTATAAACGTGCGTTTAGAGTATTTGGCTGCTATAAATTTCCACGTGATAAGTCACTTCGTTGGACTATCGATTGTCGCCAGGTTGCTTCTGACAAAGAGCTATATAGCTCAGTGGGCCTTACCCCGTAACATGAAAATAGTGTAATAGTTTCATTAGGCTTTGGTTAAAAAAAAATACGGTGGTCATTCGGCATGCAGAGCAACATCATCACAACCGTCTAACGCCTTTCTTACCTCTTTTAGACATCCCATGAAGTTGTTACTGATGGGTGACCCTGGCAGATCGGCAGTGTTGGGGCTGCCCCCCACATAGAAGAAATCATCAGAGCCCAGCATAGTGTAGTCTTCTTGAGTATAGCCCGTGGAAGTGAGGATGCCATCCACTGAGATGGTGACCTGGACGATCGGTATGAATTATAGGGGGCGTCGGCGGTGAAGGTGGAGGGGGGGGGCAAAAATGGGGGAAAAAAAAACAAGGACCTTTCACGAATGTTACTGGACCTTGAACAGCCGTTTTTTTTAAATCCCCTAGAGAGAAAGCATGTCAATGAAAAAAAAGTCATAACGCGAGCACATTCAAAAGGACATTGTAAAAACTACGCATGTCTTGTGGCCAACACTTTTGTGCTTGCACCTTTTTAAAAAAGGCGCCGTATTTAGGAATCACGTGAAAATGTCAAGGTACACAATTTCACATTTCAAATTCCATTTCCCATGCACAGTTTGAATAAAGTTCAATGCAATAAAAATATTGTCTGCTTTTTTTTCAAATATGAATCAGTACATTATTATTGAATGTCAAGTATGAATATTAACGCATAATAAATGGTTACGGAAATATTAAAACAAGAATTGTAATGCATTTCAAGGCCTTTCCCTGTAAAAAGAAAAAACAATGCACTGGCTAAATTTTGATTTAAAGCTTTCGTGACTGCAGGGATTCATATTTTTTGATCTTTCGGTAAAGTCACGTGAGAATTTTATTGTTTTATATTTTTATTATTTTATTGTTTCCCTTCTACGTGACTTTACCGAAAGAACCAAGAAAACAATGCACCGGCTGACAATTCATTCGATATAATGTACGGCTGTCTGTATTTATTTAACTAGCTCACATTGTGTTCCAAAAGCTGTGATCAATACTGTTTTAATACCATAACCATGCATTGTGATCAATAGTCGAGTTGCTTTCCCAAAAGTACCAGTCACTTTCAATCACTTCTACTACGGCAATCACTGTAGTTACAGTTGTATTGATACCGTAACTTCGCTCATGATCAATCACTCACAGACATCAAAGATAAAAGCATACATTTTACCTATATAAGCACACGAATAAAGAAGAACCAATTGGAAAAAACAGTATAACTCTTGGCTTATATATAAGCAACATATTTTTAGAAACTGAATTCTGTATTGTTCCCACTATTGCGATGGATGTTTCCTTTCTTCGTAAATGCAGGTTACATAAAGACGACCAACTCAGCTCAGGTACTGCAATGATACCTACATACATTCTATTCACTTACAAACAGCATGGCACGCCAGTCAATAACACATGCCTTCCACTAACGCCACCATAGATAAAGGAGCGTGCACTGAGGAGAGTTCCCGTTTACAGGCAGTATAGCATGGGTCAGAGACACCGTCACAGTCCAGTAAACCATGGCTGCCACTTCAACCACACAACGCTCAACAGCAGGATGTGCGACATCACACAAGAGCCAAGAACCGTGCAAATATTGTGTGTAGGAGAGACAGAGAGAGCGAGAAAGAGAGAGAGACAGGAACATAAATACCGAGAGAGAAAATAGATGTAAATAAAAAGATAATGTTTGAAAAAAATATAAGAGATTGTAGTCAAAGCGATTTCTTGCTCAAACGGGGATTGAGGCAGTGCTCATTTCCTGTTACAACCCTAAACAAGTATTGGAAATTCCATATTTTTACGGCAGGGGTGAGTCGTTCTGTGGACAACCGCTGTTGACTGCCCCACAAAATGGTACCTATTTTACCGACCCCAAAGGGTCGATGGGCTGAGCCAAACCCCCAACCAGGATTTAAACTCGCAACCTTCTAATTTGCGAGCCTCTCATTCTACAACTGAGCCACTTGCCCAGATCAAGTACACATTAAATAAGAGTATATAACAAATAATGTCTGTTACCAAAAACAGGCAAAGAAAGACCAAAAGAAAAACAGAATAACAGTGTGAAAAAGAAAGTTAAAAAGAGAGAGAGAGAGAGAGGAAGTGAGCGAGCGAGTGAGAGATTACGGAATAGGCCCACTTGACACGCGCATGCAGCAGAGATCCGATGTGATGCTAGAAATCAAAAAAGAAAAAACGGGTGGGTTAAAAGCCAGGGTGCCGGAGGTCCCCGTAGGCCCCTCCGTTGCTCCATGCCATGCACCGTGTACAGAGAGGAACTGGCAGAGGGGGGTTGGCATGCCAAGTTGCCCACCGCCAGTTGCCTGAGTGAAAGAGCAGTGCTGCCCGATGCAGCAGGCTTGCAGCTTTTTTGTTTTGCAAATCGAATTGCAATCTTAGATCTACGGCGGTCTGAAATTTTGTTCGCTGTTAAGAAAAAACAATGCAAGTGGTTTTTCAAAAACAGGTCCGATCAGAAGCAGGATTTCAAAGTAAGCAGAAAAGTACCAACCCCAGTTCCTTGTACAAGTTAATGGTGTTTACAACAAACGAAAGGGGGGGGCGAAATGAAAGAACAAACACAAGGCAAACCCAAAAAAAGACAATAAGAATGATATCTACCAGACAATGTAGTTTGTTTACCATAGCGTGTCCAATGCTTGACAGCTTTGCAGAAAAGGGGGAGGAAAAAACAAAATTAAAAAACTTGGAACGAAACAACAATTTTTTTTGTGTTTTACTCAAAAAACATGATGGTTGCCAAGGTGTTAGTACATTACCAGGTTAAAGGTTAGTAAAAATGACACATTCCATGAATGAAATATGTTAGTCATCAAATAAGCATGTTAGTTAAACATAGAAAAGAAATGCAAACAAATTCTACAGGAACATAGCAGACCAACAGATAGGCCTAAAACAGACTCGTGTGACACAGCCAGTTTCATGAGAAAGTCAGGACCTCGTTAGTCTGGTACTGAACAGAGATTTCTTACTTACTTTGAACCTGTATGTACAAATTTGGCCTCTGTTTTTCTTTTGTATGCTTCTTCGGCTCAATTGCGAATGTATTGGGATACAAATTTTGAGCGGAACAAGTGATACTGCTTAAAAAAAAAATGTATAGCTCTTTCAAAGTGAGAAATGGGCATTGGTTTTAGTGACGCTTGTTTTTATTCCCCCCACACCCCTAAAGCGGCCAAGAAGATAAGCTCCACTTGCATGTGCAGCACGTAATGTGAATCGGCTTGCCAGCCACGTTGACGCAAGCAGGCACGGATGATGCAGTAAACGGCACATTCCACATGTATTCGAAAACACCTCTCTTGGATGAAAAAAAAAGCAACATGAAGCATTAAATGCTGAAAAGGAAACACAAATACGGCACAGGAAAATAACGTAAAACAGGAATATGATCGTAGGTGGTTGATGGATCACCCAGCCCACAAAAAGGTCCCCAATTCTAGTGACCTCTCTGCCACTTGCATTGCTCTCTCACCCTTTCCGTCCATTCTTTTTTTAAACACAACTGTTTTCGTGACACTAATTGCACAAATTTAAAGGCCCGCTCCCACCAATTAAATCCCAACCGTCAAGAGAGAATAAGAGAGGTAAGGAGACCTCAAAATGTACTGTTAACAAACACGACCTATGATAAATGAATAGGTAAATCTTCATGAATGCCACATTTTTGCACTCCATATTGTGTTAATGTTATGCTTAAGACACTTTTTTAAATGAGAAAATTCACAATGCTACCAACGCTCTCCCAAAGAGTGCAACTCAAAATGTGTGAAACACGTTGCATTCTACATATACATATTTTTTAAAGTGGCAATATAGTTGTTTAATTTCAAGTGGATTCTTCTTTTTTCCAAATTACTTTATAATAAACTTGGAAAAATGTACAATAATTCACTGAGGTTTTATTATTGGACTTCTCAAATCCAATTAATTTCAGTTATGGAAAATGCAAAGCGATAGTGAAGATGGTGCATGTCTTGTTTTAAACCAAGGTGCCATCTTATTCATAAAGGGAGTTCTGATGTCCTTCAATGTAAGTGTGTGTAACACAATTGCATGCAAATTTTTTGAACAACAAAAAAAACCGTACCAAGTGCATGTTTTCTGAAAACGGCGCTCTTTTAATACCATTTTGACATTATTGCATTGTTTTGAACGACCTTCGTGGGAAAAAAGTTACTTTTTTTCCCATCAGTAACGACACTCCACAAACAGCTTGCATGCAGGACACTTCCAATCCCTTCCTGGCAAAGGCTCTACCGCTTCATTCACATCCCTCAGCCCTACCTGACGCAGGTTCCGAGTCACTTTGACATCGTGCCAGTTGTTGTCGTTGAACTTTCCCGTGACGGGCTCAACGAGGGCCTCGAAAGCGCCCGAGCCGAGGTTTATAACGAGCGAGACGGCGCCGTCCTTGAGGGCTAGATTCACATAGTCGGCTGCCTTGCCGGTGTGCAGGATGAGGCCATTGCGTTGCAACGTCTTGAAGGACAGCGTGATCTCGTCGCTGCTGCTCTGAATGGGGTTGTTCGCCAGGTCATAGCACAGGTATTCGGCGCCTTTAAATGTGGCCATGCTCTCCTCGCGAGCTGCAAGAGACAACCGCGACAACAAAACAAACGTGAGGCCATGATGAAGGCGGTAACCAACGACCACATTGTGACTGTCCGGGTTCCGTGTTGACTGCGTCCGTGCGAGCTTGTCTCCGAGGTGTTGTCACAGCTCCTGTGTCACACACACACACTACCGTGGTGCCAGTTTCCGAGATGACACGTCTTCATCAGGTGGAGGAGGGGGAAATGTTACGACTTTATTTTAGAATGTGATTAACTGTTCACGGTCATGGTGTTAATTGACATTGTTATCACGTGAATACATAATGACAGCAACAGTTTGAAATAGGAAGTTCTCACATTCCCAATAGCGAGGTAAAGTATTAAATATATATTAGAATAGGCACAGGGTAGTTATCTCCAATTCATGATGCAAGATAATTAGGTTATAAACTACAATGACACATCAATTGCATGAATTGGAATTTGGTGTATTTTTTTATTACAGGTATTCATAGCATATTTTACATTATATTATTTGTTTAAACATATATTTTACCAAGTACTTACTGGGGTTAAAACTTCGTCTTTTAAAAACTCACTGGGGTTAAAACTTCGTCTTTTTAAAAACTCAACACTGTAATTAATTAGCTTTACAAAAAAAAATTGGAAATATAATGATACATCTAAAACATGCACGTTATGCCAACAATCTGTCAACATTTTTTCACAGTAATTTATATTGTCATGCCTTACGTTGCTACATTCCTAACAGTACTGTGCCAAAGCAATGTCCTTTCCAATTAATGTAAAAAAAAAATCTCAACTCCTCCATACATACTGAGAATCACAGTACTCTCTGAAAGAAGCTCCGAGGAAACGATATCTCTCACCCTTAAATAATTTTATTTTCAGTGACATTTTCTATTGTGACTTAAAGCTTTCGTGACTGCAGGAATTCATATTCTTTGGGTCTTTCGGTGAAGTCACGTAGATAGGTTCAAAAGAAATTACAGAAAATAACAGTTTGCCTTTAGAAGGTAACCCCCCTTTTCCTGATGACGACCGCTTGTGTTACGATCGAAACGTCGTCGTTTTTTTGTTACCATCTTTGAACCTATCTACGCGACTTTACCGAAAGACCCAAATAATATTTTCTATTGTATTTTTACGTGAATAGAAAATAAAATAAAAACATTCTGTATTGCCACGGATAATTAATAAAACCGAAAATTACTTCTCACAGTGCTGGCAACATAAATCTTACTCTTTGGTTTTTTTCGGTAAAGTCACGTAGATAAAATAAAACAAAATAAACGAATACAATTAAATCACGACGTTTCGGAGGCAACACAAGCTTCCGTCTTCAGGTGGAACAGTCACAGAAGAATATATGTGTCAAGTTCTTCTGTGACTATTCCACCTGAAGACGGAAGCTTGTGTTGCCTCTGAAACGTCGTGATTTAAATGTGTTCTTTTATTTTGTTTTATTTTATCTACGTGACTTTACCGAGTAAAACCAAAGAGTATGAATCCTTGCAGTCACGAAAGCTTCAAATCTAGAACATAAATCGTACTTTCAGGTTTATTTTTGTATCCTCTTTTGGTCATATGCATTTTCTACAACAGGCATGTCAACCAGTACGGTGATATAAAAGTACAATATCAAATGTAATACTACTTTCTAATGTATCATACAGGGTTAAGTGAAACGACTCTCAAGGAAGAAATAAGATCCTTAAAAAAAATTGCTCGCAATGAAATGGCTCTGACTAGAACCACGGTAATAAAGGAAGAGTGAATGACATTAAATATTGGGGAACAGATGTAGCAAACAAATTATTCACACTTAATGACAGCATAACTTTAAATGGTCCCAGAAGCAAGGGATATGTCTCTATGAAAATGGCATGAAATCCATGAAGTTTGATGATCTCCTTGGAATCTTCATATATTGTGTCTCGTTATAACAGTGTATTTTTTTTTATCTCCAAACGTGGCATATAGCTTATCCGAACAGAGCCCATTTCCAAGGTAATTGTTTTACTTAACTTATCCTCAAATAAGCATAGCTCTATTCTCTTTTCACATTTGAATTACAATGTCAGAATCAGAACATGTATTCATACTGAAGGAATCCGATGAGCTATAAAGCTCTTTTCCACAGTTGTCCATATATTGTAGTCCATGGGCCTATTGGCTTTCCAGACCAATCTTATCATGCAGTGTTTGTTTAAGCAAGAAAACTCTTATTTGACCTTTTTGGTCAAAACAAGTTCAGAGCTTAAACATATGCTGCTTGGTTTGGAAAGCCAATGGGCTGCTGGACTAAAATAATTATGTTTTTTTATTATATTAAAAACTCATTTCTTTAGAAGTGCTTTTTGTGTTTAGTTTGTTGTCCTTCACCCGCACCTCTGATTAGCACGGTTAGCTGCTACTTATGATGCGAAAGAAGTTAAACATACATGTATACAAAACACAAAACGGAGTATTTCTTATTTATACGTTTACCCATAATGCTTCACAACAACATTAAATAGGTTGGTGTGCAAGTACAATAAACATTGTCGATTTGTGTTACAATAATTACATTTTCGTAACGTACTTTATAAAATGATTTACACATTTTGTTTCTCACCGATACGTTTACACTACTACTAATAATACATAAACCACAGATTTTAGATGATTATGATAATCTATGTTCACATACATGATCAGTTCCTAACAACCAGAAATGCATGTTGACAATGTTTGCAATATTTTCCAACATGTAATTATTTTGCAACTTATCTTTTCATCACGGTGTTACAACACAAACAGTCTGCTTATTGATAGGCATTCAGCGATAGATTATATCCTTCATGGCCACACAAGTAACCTCAATCGTGAGACAAATCCTTCATCTATTTGGCTTCAGGCATCCTAGGACACGCTGCAAATGTTTGTAATCCTATTGGCCAAAAACACAGTTACTCTCTTATATGTTGTTGTCAATATTCCATATATTCACTTGTGATCTGAAGTTCAACTACTTTGATGGTTGGTTAGTTTAACCATAGTACGACTAAGCCCATTACAATTTGGTTTAAAAGCAAAATACCACACGTAATGCCCTGGCCAACATTTTCAAAAGTCGTACAATGCAATGGACGCGGAAGTCTGGCATGCAAAAAGTAATAATACTACTAAATGTCCCCTTTTCAGAATACATTTCCATTACAATGTTAATTGAATATATGTCTTGAGGGCTTGTGTTATTTATTGCATTCAAAAAACTTCAGATGGTCTTTTTTAAAAGCAAACAAATAAAACTGTATTTTTCTACACTTTAAATCCATGATTTTTGAGACAATATACGTTGCAGTATTATTAAATAGCTAGCCTAGAATAGCGTTACAGTTACAATTGAGAAATGACATGTACATTTTTTTTTATCATTGATGTATTTTTCTGACTACCTTACCAATTATAATATATCTTAAACTATGTTATCAACATTAAGGCACACGGTGAAGTCTCTATAAATGACACAAGTGAAAAATGCCTGTTCATATTGTGGCAGCTGGAAGGCAGGACGGACCACAACCTCGATGGGATGACCTTGTTAAGATATAATTCGGGGGGTGGGGGAGAAAACCGAACAAACTAATGGTTATCTGGAAGTGATCTTGCGAGACAATGTTCAAGTGAGAACCGTTTGACAGTTCGTATGGCTGTAGGCTACAATTAAATAAATATGATCGCAACATTCATGATGACAAGAATGAAAGAAAATGATGACAATCAGCGCAAGATGAAGCATCGTATTACATATTTTATCGCTTAGTCAGTGAGCAGTATATTAAACACATGTATAATACCAGGTTTCAAAATATACTTGATATTCTATATATATTGTACATTATATACCCTAACCCCAATGTGGATTTTGTTCTGGCTACAGTAGCCCAGAGGAATGATCATGGCAACACACTGGCACTAATTACACAGTCATACCACGCAATCTCGTAAGCACCTCATTATACATGCCTGATGCACAAAGGAGTAAAGATGGCACACAGTGCTGTCATTATCCTTCATCATTAGCTTCTACTATAAATGTTGTAGTGAGGACAAATCAAGGGGTGTCTGGCATGCCATACTGTAGCTTAATTATCGGTATAACCTTGCCTAGCCATACGAACGTTTCATGTGCAAACAAACAGCAAAAAAAAATCCCCGCACATTCATTATGGCAGGCAAGAGAGTGGGAACACGTCTTGATCAAATGACTCGAGTTAATTACGTCTTGTGAAATGTCAGGAAATGAGTAAACAAAGATAACACCCTAGGTGAAAATCCACCCTGACCTTAATTTCACCGTAGTAAACTCTTGTGTTAGTGTTTCGATGCCACTTTTGACAACACTGGTGGGGTGGCGGTGGGGGGGGGGGTGTGGGACTGCTGCTCAGATTTTCCGCCTCCATGAACTTCTATTCTGTGCCTCTTCTCTCGTCAGATCCACTATCCTCATCATGTCTCATTCCACCACATACTCCCATCCGCCTCAGCTTCGGTGTCCCTTCCTCTCCTGCTGCTGCTGCTGTCACACATCGGATGATATCTCCATAGCCCTCCTAAAGTGCATCGTCCCTGTTAGACCGCATGCATGTGACCTTATTAATATATTCCTGAAACAATATTCAAAGGGATATATCGATATATATTTTTTTTACAAATGGTTAGTGCCTCGAAACATGCATTATGCAAAATGAAATGAAGTGCACGTTTGCTCTTGTGCGGGAAATGTCGCATTTTGTAAAAAAAAAAACTCCACTCATTTGACTTTCTTCGTGAGCTCACAGTCGGCTTGCATTATTTATGGTTACATGAAATCTCATTATCACATTAACTGGTTTAATTAAATTTGTTTCACACAATTGCCGAATGGGTTACATTTGCATGGGGTACATTAGCAATGCTTTAGAGGGTAACAATATAATTATCATGCATATCAATGTCTGTTGCTTTGTAATAAAATCACAATTGTA